GTAAAATTTGTTACTACCGGTTTTGTGGGCGTGGCTTGGGGGGGTAATGTGAGTGGGTGGGCATGGCCAACTTTTTTTTTTAACTTTTAAAAGCATTTTTTTAAAAAAAATTGATTTATATGCCGCCTTTCTCCGGAGACTCAGGACGGCTTACAATGCGTTAAGCAATAGCCTTCATACTTTTGTATATTTATACAAAGTCAGCTTATTGCCCCCACAAACTGGGTCCTCAATTTACTTACCTTAGAAAGGATGGAAGGCTGAGTCAACCTTGAGCCTTGGCGAGATTCAAATTTACAGTAATTGCAGACAGCTGGATGTTAATTACAATGCATTAGTCTGCTGAGCTATCCAGGCTTTGTTGAAAAAATGCTTTTAAAAGTTAAAAAAAAAGCCTCTGATGATCGCGCGGCTCAGCTGGGCATGGGAGGGGGCAGGGATATCTGCTACCGGTTCTCCGAACCACCCACCGCCATCGCTACTGGATCGGGCGATCCGGTCCGAACCGGGAGCATTTCACCCCTGCCCTAGTCCTTCCTTTCATTAGACAAGACATACCCTATTCCTGCAACTATTCTTCATATATTTTAGCCTCTAGTCTCCTAATCCTCTTGGTTGCTCTTCTCTGCACTCTTTCCAGTCTTAGCATCTTTTGTATATCATGGCAACATAATCTGGATTCAATGGTATTCTAAGTGTGATCTTAACAAGGCATTTATAAAGAGGTAATTTCACTTCAGGTGATCTTGATTTTATCCTTAAATCCCTCAGAACTTTCCAAAGATAATATAAAGCAATCCCATTCTGCAAGAGCTGATGAAGGAAACTGAACTTCTGGCCTTCTGTACTGAAAAATTCACAATCTTTCTCTAAAGTGCAAATGTGTCACCATCTCTTTTCCCCCCCCCTGCTAGTAACACCAGGACTGCTACTCCTGGGGAGCCCCTCCCAGCACAATTTAACTTAAACGTTGAGTCAGGAAGCCGAAGACAAAAGAAAAATGTGTCAGGAATCAAAAAAAGTCACGTTTTATGAAGCAGCTGCTGTTGGGAGTCTCGGCCGATACAGTAAAACTGCAGCAGCACTGTATTATAGATAGTCCTCAAATTACAACCATTTTTTAGTGACCAAAGTTACAACAGCACTGGAACAAGTGACTTAGCATTGCAGCATCCTCTCAATCACCTGATCAAAATTTGGCTAAGACGCTGAGCTTGTCAATCGAAAGGTCGGCGGTTCAGAGGTTCGAATCCCTAGCGCCGCGTAACAGATTGAGCTCCCGTGACTTGTCCTAGCTTCTGCCAACCTAGCAGTTCGAAAGCATGTAAAAAATGCAAATAGAAAAATAGGGACCACCTTTGGTGGGAAGGTAACAGCGTTCCGTGGGCCTTTGGCGTTGAGTCATGGCGGCCACATGACCACGGAGACGTCTTCAGACAGCGCTGGCTCTTCGGCTTTGAAACGGAGATGAGCACCACTCCCTAGGTGGTCCCTATTTTTCTACTTGTATTTTTTGCATGCTTTGAACTGCTACATTGGCAGAAGCTGGGACAAGTAACGGGAACTCACCCCGTTACACAGCGCTAGGGATTCAAACCGCTGAACTGCCGACCTTTCTCAGCTAGCCACTGAGCCACTGCGTTCCTACAAAGAAGATTGGATCAACCTATTTTCCAAAGCATCAGAAGGCAAGAGAAGAAACAATGGATGGAAACTAACTAAGGAGAGAAGCAACCTAGAACTAAGGAGAAATTTCCTGACAGTGAGTACAATTAACAAGTGGAGTTGCCTTCAGATTATTGAAGGAGTTGCCTTCAGACGTTGTGGGTGCTCCATCACTGGAGGTTTTCAAGAAGAGATTGGACAGCCATTGGTCTGGAATGGCATCTAATCTCCTGCTTGAGCACCACTAAATTCATAATTTTAAATCCCGCGGACCACTACCAGTAATATGATCTGCCTAATGACTGGGTGGGTGGGCGTGGCTAGGTGGTCATGTGACTGGGTGAGTGTGGCTAACACCTCGCCTTCCCGCCTGGGCTCCTTAGGACCTCAACAGGAAGCAGTTGTTGGAGCTATGCAGCCACCACGAGAAAAAGTTGGCAAAACAGCTCAGTTCAAATTGGATCTGGACGAGAAGGAGGCTCAGCAGAAGCACCTCACTGAGGACTAGGAGCATAGGCTTTCCAAGCAGAGGGAAGACCTGCGGGAGTGCAAAGCCAGGTACTGGCGCCTGGTGGCTCAGTGGGCTGAGATGGTCAGCCAGTTCCAGGCCATGATGCTGTCCCACTGGAACGAGACCCTCCGGCTCATCGCCACCAGCGGCTCTTCCCTCCAGCCTTCGCCCAAAGCCCCACACCAGGAGGCTGAAGCAGACCCCGAGTCAGAATTTCTGCCCCCCTCCGACCCTCACAAAAAGACCCCAAAGGGGGGAGACTCTCTGCAGCAACACAAACGTTCATTGCACGTATCTGTCCCAGGGGCCGTAGTTTGAGGACCCCTGATTTAGTGCAATATAAAAAATGTAAATCATTTTTCTGCGGAGCACCAAAATTTTCTCGTGGACCACCAGTTGGTGACCACTGGACTAGAAGACCTCCAAGGTCCCTTTTCCAACTCTGTTTTTCTGCTAAATACATTATCAGGTTAAACCTATTTCCGATGCCCTGTGGGGCTGGAATGATCACAGGTGTCTAGGCAGGCAAGCGCCAAGGTCTGTCACGCACATGCAAATCATACGAACCTGCTGCTAATTATATCAGAACACAATGTGCCCAGGGGCCACTGTTTTCCACAAAAGACTCCACGTTGTTAAGTACAAGCTGTCCAACACTCCTGCGACACATTCGTCTTTTGGGGAACCACAGGGGAACGGAGGACTTGCTTATTATTAAGGCTTGTTTCCTAATAAGAGCCGCATAGCTCGCTAACATTTGCATCTACTTATTTATTTTTTTTGCAGAAAAAAAAAACCTTGGAATTTCAACCTTGGAAAAACGAAAGAATAACAAGAGTTAGAAGGGACCTTGGAGGTCTTCTGGTCCAGGGGTCACCAACCTTTCGGACCTCAGGGACCACTAAATCCATAATTTTAAATCCCGTGGACCACTAATATGATCTGCCTAATGGCTAGCGGGGTGGGCGTGGCTAGGTGGTCATGTGACTGGGTGGGCGTGGCCAACTCAATGTCACTCACATCGAGGGGCGCCTTACCGGCCTCTACTTGTCCCTCCCAGTGGTGGGTTTCAAAACTTTTTACTACTGATTCTGTGGGTGTGGCTTAGTGGGCGTAGCTTGGTGGGCGTGGCAGGGGAAGGATACTGTAAAATCTCCATTCCCTCCCCATTCCAGGGGAAGGTTACTGTAAAATCCCCATTTCCTCCTGATCAGCTGATCAGGGACTTGGGAGGCAGAAAATAAATGGGGGCAGGGCAGTCAAGAATTTTTACTACCGGTTCTCCGAACTACTCAAAATTTCCGCTACCAGTTCTCCAGAACTGGTCAGAACCTGCTGAAACCCACCTCTGGTCCCTCCCCTCCCAGCCACTCCTCACCTGCCCGCCCAGGCTCCTTAGGGCCCCAACAGGAAGCAGTTGTCGGAGGTAAGCAGCCATCATTAGAAAGAGTTGACAAAACAACTACTCAGTTCAGATTGGATCTGACCGAGAAGGAGGCTCAGCAGAAGCACCTCATTGAGGACTACCACCACAGGCTTTCCATGCAGAGGGAAGACCTGCAGGAGTGCAAGGCCAGATACCGGTGCCTGGAGGCTCAGCGGGCTGAGATGGTCAGCCAGTTCCAGGCCATGATGCAGTCCCACTGGAACGAGGCCCTCCGGCTCTTTACCACCAGCGGTGCTTCCCTCCAGCCTTCACCCAAAGCCCCACACCAGGAGGCTGAAGCAGACCCAGAGTCGGAATTTCTGTCCCCCTCTGACCCACACAAAAAGACCCTGAAGGGGGAGATTCTCTGCAGCAACACAAACGTTCATTACACATATCCAGCCCAGAGGACAATTCTCTCCTTGTGGGCTGAGGAATTCTGGGAGATGGAGTCGACAGATCTTCCGGTTTTCCAAGATTGAGCAACATTGTTCTGTAGTCTCCAATCTCTAGCAATACTTGTAGTCTATCTCCAAACCAGTGGTGGTATTCAGCTGGTTCAGATCGGTTCAAGCGAACTGATAGTGCCCGGGCGCTATGCCATCCTATTTAGCTACGTTTTTGAGGCTGGGCGCATGTGCAGAAGATGTGCATGAGGGGCGACCCGGTGATAAAAATATGTGGAACCCACCTCTGTGTTCTGACCTAGGCTCCCTTAACAAGCAGGAGGAAGGAATTACTGGCAAAACCTCTTTTATTTACACGACTGTGAATTACTTCCATTCACAGTCAGCAAGGTTTGTTCAAACAGTTTTTCAAAGGAATATTTATCAACACAGACTTTATCTCGTTTGGCAAGCTGCCACGTAACTTGTTTCCAACCATAGCACAAGGCAAAACTTAGCACAGAGTCTCTCAGAGTCACGGAATGAACAAATTGTTTCCTGCAAAAGCTCACTCCCTGTTTGCTCCTCTTTTGTTTCCTATGGGAGGGGCCAATCACCTCCAAGGTGTGGCTTTACTCCCAAGTCGACCCTGCTTTCTGAATTGTTCTTGTCTTTTGGCAGCTCTGCGCATGTGCACACTGGGAACTGGCTCCAGCTGTTCCTCTGCCTCACTGCTGTCTACCTCCCTCTCTGCCTCCGACGCAGAGCCCTCATCCGAGCTTTCCCCAGCCCCCAGGCCTGGCCCATGTTCCTCCCCAACCTCCTCACTGTCTGAATCTGCTGCCCACAACACTCTGCTCCAAACCTTTGACCCCCCCCAAACTCGTCGAGCCCATAAGTATCCTGCAACAAGCTAGCAGGGAAGGTCCCAGTTGGGTGAAGACTCCAAGATAGTTTGGCTAAATAAAAAACCTTCCCTTTCTTCCCCACAATTTCAGGAGCTCAACTTTACCTCTTCAGTGGTGAGAGGCATACAAATCCGGTATTCCTTCACCAGCATTGCTGCTCGTAGGTTCAGGATGTCTTCTTCTCTTCGGATGGAAACAGGGACTCGTCACCAACGCAGCGGCCCCCCGAAGTTCCTCAAGGAAAGCATCATGCTGTAGGGAAACAGGAATTCCCCACCAGAGGTTGGGGGCAGAGAAAAAGACTTTTAGAACAACTCAAGGACAAAACTCTGGTGCACATCTGGCAAGCTCAAAGCTACAACTGGCCAAGTCTCCAAGTAGCTTTCTTCTCCCTATTGCTCCAACAATGGCTGGGCTCACACACAATGTCATGATCAGTTGCCAGGGAAGCCCTTGTGAGGTCACCAGCAGCCTCCTCACCTCTCAAGTCAAGGGAGAAGTAGCGGTTGGACCAAAGAGGAATAGAGAAGACCATCCCAACCTTTGCCCTTTCTCAGTTTTAACAGATAAAGAGATGAGTTGGAAGGATGGACCTTGTAGGTCATCTAGTCCAACTCTCCACCCAAGCAGGAGACCCTACACCATTTCTGACAGATTGCAGTCCAATTTCTTCTTGAAAGCTTCCAAGTGATGAAGTTCCCACAACTTCTGAAGGCAACTTCTGTTCCATGGGTTGATTGTTCTCACTGTCAGAAAATTCCTCCTTTCCAGGTTGAATCTCTCCTTGTTCAGTTTCCTTCCATTATTCCTTGTCTGGCCTTCAGGTGCCTTGGAAAATAGCTTCACCCCCTCCTCTCTATGCCAGCCCCTCAATTATTGGACAACTGCTATCATGTCTACCCTGGTCCTTCTCTTCACTAGACTAGACATGTCCAGTTCCTACAAATGTTCATCATATGTTTTAGCCCCTCCAGTCCCCTAATCATCTTGGTTGCTCTCAGTAGTGGAATTCAATTTTTTTTACTACGGGTTCTGTGGGCGTGGCTTGGGGGGCATGGTGTGGCTTGGGGGTGTGTGGCTTGGGGGCATGGCAGGGGAAGGATACTGCAAATTCTCCATTTCCACCCCACTCCAGGGGAAGGATACTGCAAAATTCCCATTTCCTCCTCACTCCTGGGGGAAGGATATTGCAAAAATCTCCATTCCCACCCAACTCTGGGATCAGCCAGAGGTGGTATTTGCCGGTTCTCTGAACTACTCAAAATTCCGTTACTGGTTCTCCAGAACCTGTCAGAAGCTGCTGAATTTCACCCCGGGTTGCTCGAAGAAGAAGAAGAAGAAGAGGAACCAAGGGTGAAATTGAGCAGGTTCTGACAGGTTCTGACTCCTTCTTCTCCTCCTTCTCCTGCAGAAGAGTGGATTCTCTGCCAGGTATATTTCTTTTTTTGCACTGTTTTCTAAAGCTCCTTCTCTTCCTTTGCTCAATCCCCCATGTTCCTCCAGAGCTCAACATAAAAGTGTGAGGGAGTTCATGAGGACAGCAGAAATGGAATGTTGTGGAGGTCTGCTAGGCTCAGACTGCAGGCTTAGTGACAAATTCCAAGTTACAGGCTGAAACTTACTAGGTCTCTGGAAAGCTGCAGGAGAGAAGCTGGTGTTCCCAGATCACTTCCCAATGCCAGGATTCCGGCTATTTTCTCAATAAAGGGAAGCAAATCTCGGTTCTGTGCCTCGGTCTGGATTACAGACCACCCCTACCAACATGAGATGGAGAATCTTCTGGAACAGAGGACTCCACCTTCGAGGTAAGCTTGAATTCTGCTGCCTGTTTCTCAGAGTAAATTAAGACACCTCCATGTGTGATGATTCATTTAATGGAATTATATTTCCACTGTTCTTTTCTTTTTTTGAAAAAGGGAGATGGGAGGGGGGAAAACTGGCTGGTAACAAAGCACAGCGTCCATCTTCTATCTAATTTTTCAGCCTAGGCTATAAAACGGAGGAAGGTGGTAGAAACTCAGAACGTTGTTTTGGAGGGCCTGGAGAAATATCCAAGGGCCTTGAGTGGTTTATAAACATAATAAAGGCAGGGAAAGGGAGGCAGGCAGGCAGGCAGGAAGGAAGGAAGGAAGGAGGAAGGAAGATGATGGAAAGAAGATGAAAGTAAGACGAAGAAAGGGAGGGAGGGAGGGAGGGAGGAAGGAAGATGTAGGAAAGAAAGAATGAATGAATAAAGGAAGGAAGGAAGGAAGATGTAGGAAAGAAAGAATGAATGAAGAAAGGAAGATGAAGAGAGGGAGGGAGGGAGGAAGATGAAGGAAAGAAAGAATGAATGAATAAAGGAAGGAAGATGAAGAAAGGAAGATGAAGAAAGGAAGGGAGGGAGGGAGGGAGGGACGAAGGAAGATGAAGGAAAGAAAGTATGAATGAATAAAGGAAGGAAGGAAGATGAAGGAAAGAAGGAAGGAAGATGAAGGAAGGAAGATGAAGAAATGGAGGGAGGGAGGGAGAGAGAGAGGAAGGAAGGAAGGAAGATGAAGGAAAGAAGGAAGGAAGATGAAGAAAGGAAGATGAAGAAATGGAGGAAGGGAGGGAGGAAAGAAGATGAAGGAAAGAAAGAAGGAAGGAAGGAAGGAAGGAAGATGAAGGAAAGGAGGAAGATGAAGGGAGGAAGGAAGGAAGATGAAGGAAAGAAAGAATCAGGAAAGAAAGAATCAGGGAAGAAAGAATCAGGGAAGAAAGAAAAAGAGAAGAAAGAAGCAAGCAAGCAAGCATACAAGGACATAAGGAACTGATGTTCCAAGTAAGCTGTCATTTTGTCCCAAAGAGCTACAGCAAAGCAGGAGGAGAAGCAGAGGTGGGTTTCAGCAGGTTCTGACCAGTTCTGGAGAACCAGTAGTGGAAATTTTGAGTAGTTTGGAGAACTGGTAAATACCATCTCTGGCTGGCCTCACCCCCATCTATTCTCTGCCTCCCGAGTCCCAGCTGATCGGGAGGAAATGGGGATTTTGCAGTAACCTTCCCCTGGAATGGGGTGGGAATGGGGATTTTGAAGTATCCTTCCCCTGCCACGCCCACCACCACGCCCACCAAGCCATGCCATGCCATGCCCACTAAGCCACACCCACAGAACCGGTAGTAAAAAATTTTGAATCCCACCACTGAGGAGAAGGGTTCAAATTGTTCTTTGGTCTGAGCCACAGAATGCCATTCCACAGTTCCCTCCCACAGATGCATTAAACCAGTGTTTCTCAAACTGCCACATTTTAACAATTCAAATCCTAGCTTGCTGGCTTGGGAAATCCCTCAAGTCAATGTCCATTCACCTTAAAGCAGAGGTCAGCAACCTCTGGCTCTGGAGCCACATGTGGCTCTTTCACCCCTCCGCTGCAGCTCCCTGTCACTCAAAATATGTGTCACAACCACCAATGTGTGACACCTGCCGGCATGCAATTTATTGAGTTTTTCAACCCCCGGTAGGCCAACCATGGATAAATCCAAGAAAAGTTTTAGAAGAAAACAGAACATTTAATTCAACTACATATGCTAGTTTTGTGGCCGCTCAAGAAATAGTCAGGCATGGGAAGAGTTTTGTGGCTCCCGGTGTTTTCTTTTCTGTGGGAAACGGGTCCAAATGGGTCTTGGAGTGTTTAAGGTTGGAGACCCCTGCCTTAAAGCATCTACATTTGAGAAGCACCGCACCTCTTGAATGCAGATCTACTTTCAGGTTATCCCTATTCGCAACTGAGGTTTGTTCACACCTGAACAGGTAACATACTGTACCTCAAACGCAGCTTCCATGTGTCAAAGCATTGCTCCTTCATCCCTTCTCTTTCCTTCTGCTCTCTTCTCCCTCCAAGGAGCAAAGGGCAGGCTCAACCATTCCCTGGCTGCTCACCTGTCCTGGTTTTCTGATCGGCGAGATAAATTAGGCTGAGCACACCTGGCCCAAAGTGACCCTGCTGGATTTTGTAGCCAAGCGACCATCTCGCTTGGATTGCCTGGTGTCAGATCAGCATCAGGGCAGCAGAGTGCATCGCCTCTCGACCAGCTATTATCAAGAACTGCGGTGGTGCAGGTGGTTGGAGTGAAGTACGGCAGGCTACTTCTGCTGACTGACTGCAGTTTGGCAGTTCAAATCCTACCAGGCTCAAGGTTGACTCAGCCTTCCATCCTTCCGAGATGGGTCAAATGAGGACCCAAATTGTTGGGGGCAAGAGGCTGACTCTGTAAACCGCTTAGAGAGGGCTGTAAAGCACTGTGAAGGGGTATATAAGTCTAAGTGCTAGTACTATTTTCCTTCCTTCCTTCCTTCCTTCCTTCCTTCCTTCCTTCCTTCCTTCCTTCCTTCCTTCCTTCCTTTCTTGCTTTCTTTCTTCCTTCCTTCCTTCCTTCTTTCCTTCCTTCCTTCCCTCCCTCCCTCCCTCCCTCCCTCCCTTCCATGGTGTGCAGTGGTTACAATGCAGTATTGCAGGCTAACTCTGCCAACTGCCAAGAGTTCGATCCTGACCAGCTCAAGATTGACTCAGCCTTCCAGCCTTCCGAGGTGGGTAAAATGAGGACCCAGATCGTTGGGGGGAAATAGGCTGACTTTAGACCGCTTAGAGAGGTCTGTAAAGCACTATGAAGCGGTATATAAGTCTAAGTGCTATTTCTATTGCTATCAATGAGACTGAGAGCTTTCTTGCTATGACCAGAACTTTTGGTGAATTATGCTGTTCACCTACCATCCATCAAGGCCTCTGATTTAGTTCAACCTCTTTTGGGATATTCTTTTGGGAACCTTGTGAAAGAAACTTTATTGACATATTTGCACATACACTGAAAGCTTCTGCAGCAGGAGACAAATTCCTTGTGTATTTAATCACTCTTGGCCAATAAAGGTTTGTATTTGTATTGTATTTGTGTTCTGTTCTACTCTAATTCTACTCTACTCTAATTCTATTCTAATTCTATTCTTATTCTTCTTGTGACCTAGGCTTCCTGAGTCATTAAAACACACGAGTAGTCCCAAAAACCTCTTTTATTGCAACAGCTGTGAATTACGTTCATTCACAGCTGAGTCCCAATTAGTTGCATAACAAGTCCTTTGGAAGAAGTCCTTCGAGATAATCACCAACCTTTATCTCCCTTGACACTCTGCCTAAGACCTACTTGGCAAAGCCACACGGAGTCCAGAATCAAACAGAGATGGGAACAGAATTAACAATGTTGCTTTCCTGCAAAGAGCCCATGTGCCTTTGGTCCTCTTT